CACCAAGGGTTGCGATCCCGTTACCAGTCAGTAAAAAAGACAAAAAGGAAAAAAAAAAATTAACATGACTGCCAAGAATTTTTTAAAGTCACTGGATCATAGGCTGGCTGGTTAGCTCAGTTGGTTAGAGTGTGGTGCTGACTGACACCAAGGTCCGAAGTTCAATCCCTGTACCAGCCAGCTGCAAAAAAAAAAAAAAGTCAGTAGATCACATAGCAGAATGGACCCTGCTGATGAACATATAAAACTGAACAGGGATCTCAGGGAACCTGGTTCAAAAGGACAAAGAGATGAAAAGAGCGAAAAACATTAAAAGAGGACTCTGAAAAGGCAAGAATAGAGAAAAAGGAGAAAAGTTTTCTTAAGGAAGTTTCATCTTCTCTGAAGAGACTGAATTTTCTGAATCCTCTTGACAAAAGTGCCAAAAAGAAGGAATAAAAAAAAATCATATGCTTATGCAACAAAACATAATCATTTTAGTGAAATTTTTTAAATTCCCTTTACCGCAAAGATAGAGAAAATTCTAAAAGTTTACAAGGAATAAAACAGCATCTACAGAAGTGACAAGACCAAGACTAGTATCAAGAACCCTCCCCTCTGTAACACTGTGTTCCAAAAGTAAAGCAAAGGTTTCCAAAATTTGAGATCATTTTGAACTGACCGAACCATTGTTCAACTGAGAGAGAAAACAAAACCTCTTTTGAGAAATACACAAAAACATTTTGAAAAAACTTAAGATATTAAAAAAACATCTGCAAAAGGGAAAACATGATATAGTGTAAACATATTTCAGACTAAATAATGTTTGTTGATATGGCTATAAAACTTGTAGAGATAACATGTTATGATGATCTGAAGGCAAAAACATCCAGTATATTGCAGTAAAACATAAAGGCATACTCAGAATTTTATTCTGTTTGGAAGAAGCAAAGGAGACTTAATCTACATTGTAAAATTTAAATAGATTTAGGAAAAAATGAATAGTAATCTCTAAAAGAACGGAAAAAGTAAAAATGAACTGAGAAAAGGTCTTATGTTTGGCTTAAAGAAAAAGGAAGGCATGTCAAGGGCATAGAAGCAAGTAAAAAGCTCCAAAACCAAATATTAGGAGAAAAAAATAAATATAATAGCTACCATGTTAAATGTAAATAAATCAAACTAAAGACAGGGGGTGCGGCGGTGGGAGGGTGGGGAGGACTGCGACCACCAAACAGAAAAGGTTGAAAATGACCTAAAGGATAGACAGATTTGCAAAAGCTGACTAAAAGAAAAAGTTAGAAATCCATAATCATAGCAGGTGACTTTCCTCAGAAGATGAAGTTCCCGTAAATTAACAGGATGCAGCAGATTTAAATACCACAACAGCTCTGATTTCATACATACACACAGAACTTTGTGCCCAACATTCACAAAAACTTGACCATATGCTTTTAAGACACAAGAGAAAATGTATTAAATTCCAAAAAATTAAAAATCACTCAGGGCTGGCCTGGTGGCGCACTGCTACAGTGCGCCGCCTTGGAGCGCGGCAGCGCTCCCGCCGAGGGGTTGGATCCCACATACAGACCGGCCGCTCACTGGCTGAGCGAGGTGCGGACGCGACGCCGAGGGTCGCGATCCCGTTGCCGGTCCCAGTCCGGTACGGGCGCGACACAGGGTTGTGATCCGTTGCCGGTCAAGAAAAAAAAAAAGAGAGACAAAAAAAAAATCACACAGTCCACATTTACTTATAACAAGAAAGTAAAACTAGAAATTAGCAATGAGTAACAAAACTAAAAATCTATCCACATATACTTTATAAAACAGAAATTGATAACTAGTATCCAGTTCTCCCATAAACTATAAGTATCTTACAGGTGTGACAGATAAAGGAGCATGAAAAAGGCATGCAAGAAATCCTTTAGCTGTTTATCTCTTACTTTCAAATGTTTAAAAAACTAAGTAGGCACATCCCAAGCAAAAGGAAGAGAGCAGGCAGATTGATGTCACAGACACATAAGGCAGAAAACTAGCTCAGAATGACTGTTGACTTAGAAGAAAATGGTGACAGATGAAACTGATAAAAGAGGCAGTAAACATGAAAGGCCTGGAATGCATGTTTTGCCTTTGGCTCACAGTAATGAGTACCAACCAAAGAAAGGTTTGAAACCCAAGAGCAGGTATAAAAAAACCAAACATGCGGCACTATGAAAAATCAAGCAGGCCACAATGTAGAGGAGGTCTGAAGCAGGGCAAAGATTATGGTCAGGGAGACTAGTAAGGAGACCAGCAAGTACATAAGCAAAAGAAAAATCTGAATTAAGGCAGTAATGTAAGGTCAGAAAGAAGGAGGGGTAGATTCAAACTTCTGATTAAGTGGGTAACAGTACCACCAATCAGGAAAGGGAATTCAAAAAATACAAGACAGAACAAAAAACACAGGTCAGTTTTAGACAGGAGCGCATATTAAAAATAAATAAATATTTAGAGCAATGTTTGAATCACCTAAGAATCTTTTTAAACTGCAGATTCTGAAACATAAGGTTTGGAGTCAGGCCTGAGAGTCTGCATTTTTAACAAGCTTCCAGATTATGCCGACACTGCTGGTCCACCAAACACACCTTTGAGTACCAAGGAGTCAGAGAACTCACATCATCCTCTAAATTCACATCAACTTCTTTCAAGGAACTCAGGAACAGTTCCTCTTCTGTAGCACTATGGAAGGCTATCAACAAAACACTTGTACTTAAGTTTCATGAGATTGAGTCAGTCTTACAAGTATTCTTGACAGATATTCTGAAGCCTACAAAACCCCATCTTTACTAAGACAGGTCAAATTTTTCTCCCTTCTGTCTTTGGAAACACAAAACAATACCAGATTTAAAAGACATGTGAAAATAACTGATTTAAAACACCAAGCCCAGATATTTACACATAGGTATCATGCAAGAGAACTAGCTGGCAAACACACATCCTGTTAAAAAAATAATAAATTCAATAATTTCGATACTCACTTTCCTAGAAAGTGGATCATCAGCAAGTCTTCTCTCTTCCTCTCTACGACGTTCTCTTTCTTCAATTTCCAACTCCCTTTGGCGTTTTTTCCTTTCCACTTCTTCTAACTTCTTGACCCGCTCCTGATATTCTCGCAGCTCTTCCTCCCGTTTTGCTCGTTCAGCACGCTCTCTCTCTTCACGCTCTGTATAATTAATTAGGTTACTAACTATGCTTCCCACCTGCATCTTTCCCCTTGTGTTAGATCTACTTTTCTGGTATTAACAAGGGAGTACAGCATAGAAGTAAATTTTAAGAATTTAAAACGTTTGCAAACAGCTAACTGGCAGAATTATTCAAGAAGCCAAGTACTACGTCACTCAACATTAATAGTTTTGTAATGACATAAGAAAGCACTAGAATCCTTCCCCCGTTCCTGCACATCTGGGATTCCAGATATAGGATCATGTGACAGCCTTCATCTGGCCAGTTAGTCCTCAATAAGTATTAATACCTAAACAGAGTACGGTGATAAAAACAAAAAGATATATTAATTTTTAGGACAACAAAAAATATGTAGGAACAAGTTAGGAGAGAACGTAGCATCTTCACACATAAAAAACTGGGTTCCGAGAACTAGTTAACTGCAGTGCTAAGGGGCCAATTATCTTGATTCCTGTATTTTCTAAATAAGGTTGCTGAAAACTCGATCTAACACCAACCTTGCAGTACCATACCTCCAATCTTGGCCTACAGAGTTACCTTTTAGCATTTGTTCTTCTGCCCTCCTCTGTTCCTCCTCCTCTTTTTCTCTATAGTAAGTTATTCTGCGTTCTTCTTTGCGTTGCCTTTTACGTTCTTCCAAACGATTACGCCTTTCTTCTGCTAACCGCTCTTCAAACTGTTTAAGTTTTTCCTGCAATTAAATAGTTACCAAAATAAAATCAAAATTTTTCAAGAGCGGGCCAGCCCGGTGGCGCACTGGATAAGTGCGCCGCTTGGGAAGCGCAGCGGCGCTCCCGCCTGAGGGTTCGGATCCCACATACAGACCGGTTCCCACTCACTGGCTGAGCGAGGCGCGGGAGCAACGCCGAGGGTTGCGATCCCGTTGCCGGTCCCCGGTCTGGTACGGGGGCAACACTGAGGGTTGCGATCCGTTGCCGGACACGGAAAAAGACAAAAGACAAAAAAAAAAAAAATTTTTTTTTCAAGAGCAATGAGCTTTTAGGTTTACAAAAGACTTCCAAATTTCTTGGAACCAGAGAAAGCAAACTCCAAGTACAAAAACCAGAATTTCCATACAACTATTGAAACTTTATTAGCATGCCAAATTTTTAAAAATTCAAATTACTGATATTATCTACACTCAGTGGATTTATCTTATAAAATCAAATGATTAAATAACAACTTAAGGCTAAGACACTTCAATCAAGTGTTTTTTCATTACTGAATCAAACAGTAAACAAAAGCTTGGATCAAAAGAGACTATGCAGTCAACTAATTTTCACCTTTAGAAAAATCTGTTTAGATAGGTGACTATTTAGCTTACAAGATATTTTCCAAAAATTTGTTAAAATGTTATCTGAATGACCATTATATATGTTAACTCAAGACAGAACATACCACTGTGTTAAAAGAGAATCCTTAAGGCAAAACTTAAAAGCTCATGAATAAACTTTTCCCTAAAACCAATAAGCTCACCTCATAAACAGACTGCCGTGCAGCTTTGAGTCGCATTACAAATAAATCTCTGTCTTCCAGCATTCGTGACATACGATTCTTATGTTCAAGAGCTTTTTCACGTTCTAGCTGCATAGTAGTAATCTGAAAGTACATAATATACAGTTAAATTTCAAATAATTTATTTGATTACTAATTTACCCAAATTACTGACAGATATTCTTAAAAAATTATAAACAGCACACGAAGTGCAAGGGTAACTATCTTCCATGCCAACAGATCTCAGGAAGGAAATTAGGGACAAGAAGTGGATAAAGTAATCCCTGGGCATCTATAAATGAGTTTCTATTTAGCCCCATGGTACTATAAATTTCCATAAAGAAAAAACTATAATGTACATGGTAAAACAAAATAATACCACATGGTAATAAGCACTATGGTTTAATTTTTAAAAGCATTTCCCTACTTAAAAACATCTGGAGGTTAAGGTAGGATGATATTAAGGCTTTTTATTTTGTGCCCTAAATGAAAAAACAGAAGGGTTCAGGTTCATTCCAATTATTTCATTTGGTCTACAGCACTTTTCTTTCCCTAGTTAATTTCAAATGTTTACATATTAAGAGAGTTATCATAAAATTCCAACTTAGTTCCTTAAAAAACTGGAAGAAGTTGCAACACTAGGCCCATAATCTCCAGATGACAACAATCAGATGGAACCAAGAGGAGGTTGCATTCTCCTTGCTGTGATCCCAGAAGAGGTATGCCACTGCTTATGGCTACTTTTTCTTTTTTTTTTTTTTAACCACAATCAGTTCATTCATTTATTGGTCCTACAAACATTTGTATCATCAGGTGAATATAATATAGACTAATAAAATTATAGAATGAGCTGTTTAGTCACAAAGACCACATACTACATGGTTCCGTTTATATGAAATGTCCAAAACAGGAAAATCTAGAGACAGAAAACAGATTAGTGGTTGACTAAGGCTCAAGTGTAGAGGAAGAAATGGGGAGTGACTGCTAATGGGTACAGATTTTCTTTTTTGGCTGTGTTCTAAAATTAGATTGTGGCAAAGTTTGCACAATTCTGTAAATACTCTAAAAATCATGAGCTGTATACACATGCCATACAATTCACCCATTTAAAGTGTACATAAAAATTTTTTTTTAGGGGGCTGGCCCGGTTGCACACTGGATAGTGCGCCGCTTGGGAAGCGTGGCGGCACTCCCGCCCAAGGGTTCGGATCCCACATACAGACCGGTTCCCGCTCACTGGCTGAGCGAGGCGCGGGAGCAACACCGAGGTTTGCGATCCCGTTGCCGGTCCCCGGTCCGGTACGGGGGCAACACTGAGGGTTGCGATCCGTTGCCGGACACGGAAAAAAGACAAAAAGACAAAAAAAAAAAAAATAATAAAAATGTTTTTTTTTTTAAATGGGCTTTTCAGCTGTCCTCTGTTTTACAAGTTTCATTTTTAATTTCTAACGTGAAAATGTCTTTCTACCATTCTAAGCACTGTTTCTAGCAAAATACAAAAATTAATTTTGAAACTCTGGTCCCACTGTTGGCAGAGGATTCAATTATAGTTTACAGCCTAAAACATTACAACTACATGGAAAACTTACTCTTTCTTCTTCTTGTTGTTCCCACAGATCCATGTCTTTAATTCTCTGTTCCTCATAAGCACTCTTTATCAATGGAATTTCTTCCAGACGTTTAGCTCTTTCAAAATAGTCAATCTGAATGAAATGAAAACAAATGTAGCTTTTTAGAAAATCTTTTTACTTGGTATACTAAAAGTTTACTAGTCCTTTCATTTACCTTCTTTTCTTGATTCTTTAGGCGTTCTTGAAGTTCCTTCTTTTCCTTCTCCAGTTGTTCAACCTGTTTAGCCATGATAAAATCTGGATCCAATTCTTCAAGGTCCTGAGAGGTAATACAAATGCAACAATATTAATAAGAATATAAAAGAAATGCCTAACAGTCAAACTAGCTCACTGCTTTCCAGAATCAAATCCTAAATTTTTACAATGGGTATTATTCAGGAAATGTAAAAATATTGTACGATCACCTTATTTCTATACTTGAATGTAGAGAAAAAAATATATACATGATTTTACCACGTATTTCTCACTCCTCCAGTCTACATCTACCCAAACTTTACTACTGTGATGAATATACAGTGGTTAAAAACTGTACAGGACAATGGGCCGGCCCGGTGGCGCATTGCTACAGTGCGCCACTTGGGAGCGCAGCGGCGCTCCCGCCAAGGGTTCGGATCTCACATAAAGACCGGTTCCCGCTCACTGGCTGAGCGAGGGGAGGGCGCGGCACCGAGGGTTGCGATCCCGTTGCCGGTCCCGGCCCAGTACGGGCGCGACACGGAGGGTTGCGATCCGTTGCCGGACACGAAATAAGACAAAAAGGAAAAAAAAAAACTGTACAGGACAATTAAAAATGCTTTTTCTCAGATTTAGTCACTGAACCAGATGTGCCAAAATGTGTGAAATGATTTTTGTCTGAAGGAGACTGGCAGCATTACTATTTATAGTTATACTGCTAATTAACCTTCAAATATTTGTATAGCACAGAAAAAATAACACTGCTCACACATACTAAAGAAAGCAGGTCGATGAAATGTGCAGAAGTACTGAATCAGGCGGCTGGTTAGCTCAGCTGGTTAGAGCACAGCCTTATAACACCAAGGCCATGGGTTCAGATCCCCATTCCAGCCAGCCACCAAAAAAAAAAAAAAGAAAAGAAAAGAAATACTGAAGCTAACATATAATAAAAGCCCCCCTTCTCTAAATGAAACAAATAGACACCAAATCAGGAGCATTTAAGCCATTATAAAACATAATATTCAAACTTACTCAAGAAGTTGGACTAAAATACAAGTATACCTCAGAGATATTGTGGGTTCAGTTCCAGACCACTGCAACAAAGCAAGTCACACAATTTTCTGGTTTCCCAGTGAATATATGTTATGTTTATACTAGTCTATTAAGTGTGCAATTGCATTGTCTAAAAAAAAACAATGTGAAAGGAAGCTATGACCTTATTTTAAAAACACCTTATTGCTAAAATGATGCTAACAATCACCTGAGCCTTTAGTGAGTCATAATCTTTTTGCTGATGGAGGGTCTTGCCTTGATGTTGATGGGTACTGACTAATAGGGGTGGTGGTTGCTGAAGGTGGGGGTGGCTGTGACATTTTTTTAAGATAACACAACAATGAAGTTTGCCGCTTCAATTGACTCTTTCACAAAAGATTTCTCTGTAGCATGAAACACTATTAGTATATTATTACATAATATGCTATTACCCACAATAGAACTTCTTTCAAAATTGGAGTCAATCCTGTCAAATCCTGTTGCTGCTTTATCAATTAAGTTTATGTAATCTTCTAAATCCTTTGTTGTCACTTCAATAATGTTCACATCACCTTCACCAGGACTAGATTCCTAGATTCCATCTCAAGAAATCACTTCCTCCGCTCACCCATAAACAGCAATTCCTCATCCGTTCAAGTTTTACCATGAGATTGCAGCAGTTCAGTCACATCTTCAAGCTCCACTTCTAATTCTAGTTCTCTTGCTAGTTCCACCACATCTGCAGTTACTTCTTCCAATGAAGTTTGAACCCCTCAAAGTCATCCATGAGGGTTAAGATCAACTTTTCCAAACTCCTATTAATGTTGATATTTTGATCTCCTCCCCATGCATCACAAATGTTCTTAAGGGTATCTAGAAAGGTGAATCCTTTCCAGAAGGTTTTCCATTTACTTTGCCCAGATTCATCGGACGAATCACTATCTATGGCAGCTATAGCCTTTATAAAATGTAGTTTTTAAATAATAAGACTTGAAAGTAAGTCTGGAAAGTCAAAATTACTCCTTGATCCACGGGCTACAAAACAGATGTTTTGTCAGCAGGCCTGAAAACAACATCAATCTCCTCGTACATCTCCATCAGAGCTCTTGACTGACCAGGTACATTATTAATGAACAGTAATATTTTGAAAATAATCTTTTTTTCTTAGCAGTAAGTCTCAAAAGTGAGCTTAAAATATTCAGCAAACCATGCTGTGAACAGATGTGCTGTCATCCAGGCTTCGTTTTCCCATTTATAGAGCACAGGCAGAGTAGATTTAGCATAATTCTTAAGGACCCTAGGATTTTCAGAATACTAAATGAACACTGGCTTCAACGTAAAGTCACCAGCTGCATTAGTCCCTAACAAAGTGAGCCTGTCCTTAGAAGCCAGGTATTAACTTCTCTCTAGCTAAAAAAGTCCTAGATAGCTTCATCTTCTTCCAGTATAAGGCTGCTCTGTCTAAACACAGAATCTTGTTTAGTGCGACCACCTTCATCAGATCTTAGCTCCTCCATCTTCTGAATAACCTGCTGCAGCTTCTACAGCAGCACGGGCTGCTTCACCTTGCACTTTTGTGTTATGAAAACAGCTTCTTTCCTTAAACCTCATGAATCAGAGGCATGAAGCAAAGGCTAGCTTTCAAACTTTTCTTCTGTAGCTTCCCCACCTCTCAATCTTCACAGAACTGGAGAGAGCTTGGGCCCTACTCTGAATTAGGCTTTGGCTTAAGGGAATGTTGTGGCTGGTTTAATTTCCTATTCAGACCACTATAAACCTTCTCCCTATCAGCAATAAGCCTGTTTCACTTCCTTACACTCATGTGTTTGCTGCTTTTAATTTCCTTCAAGGTTTTCTTTGCATTTGCAACTTGGTTAACTGGAGCAAGAGGCCTAGTTTTTGGGTCTATCTTGGTTTTCAACGTGCCTTTCTCACTAAACTTAATCATTTCTAGCTTTTGATTTAAAGTGAGATATTTGATTTAAAGTTAAATATTTCTTTCCCTTGAACACTTCGGGGCCACTGTAGGGTTATTAATTGGCCTAATTTCAGAACTGTTGTGTCTCAGGGAATAGAGACAGGGAAACAGCCAGCTGGTAGAGCAGTCAGAACACACACAACATTTATCGATTAAGCTCACCATCTTATGTTAAGTGCGGTTTGTGGCACCCCAAAACAATTAAAATAGTAACATCACAGAGATTACCATAACAGATGTAATAATGGAAAAGACTGAAATGTTGTGAGAATTACCAAAATGTGACAGAGACACAAAATGAGCACATGCTATTAGAAAAGCGGCACTGCTGACAGACTTGGTGCAGGGTTGCTACAAAACTTCAATTTGTAAGAAATGCAGTATCTGCAAAGTGCAATAAAACAAGGTGTGCTAGGGCCTGCCCGTGGCTCATTCGGGAGAGTGCAGTGCTGATAACACCAAGGCCATGGGTTTGGATCCTATAAAGGGATGGCCGGTTAGCTCAATGATTAAGTGTGGTGCTGACAAAACCAAGCCAAGGGTTAAGATCCCCTTACTGATCATCTTTAAAAAAAAAAAAAAAAAAAAAAAAAGGTATGCTACTATGTCAAAACTTAGTAAAACCTAGTGTTAGCAGAAGGGGAAAAGGCAGTCTTGTTCACTATTGGTAGTAGGGTCTATTAATCGCATCTTCTGTGGATCTTTTAAAGCTATAAATGTGTAAATTCTATGACTAATTCCACTTCTTATGCTACAGAAACTCACGGCAAGTATGCAAAGATACACGTATGAAAGATGTTCAATGGTACAACATTTCCTAATAATAAAAAAAAAATACGTAGGTTTCAACAAATAGTGTGAATGAATAAACCATAATACCTATAGAGTATAAAAAACAATGTAGGCATTAAAAGGATAAGGTAGCCCTACATTACTAACATAGGAAAACACATAGATATAAACACATAAAGATTCAGCAAAAAAGATAAAAGCAGTCATGAAACACGTACGCAATTTTGTTTTTCAAATCAATAAATAAGACTAATTCTGGCATGGGTAGAATTTGGGGAAGCTTTCACTTCCTACGCAGTTTTAAAATTTTTCTAGTTGGGCCGGCCCGGTGGCACACTGCTACAGTGCGCTGCTTGGGAACGCGGCGGCGCTCCCGCCGAGGGTTCGGA